TAAGTATTTTTTTGGTATATTTATTTTGTTTTATAGATGTAAGTATTTTTTTGTTTGAAAAATGTTTAGAAACTTAACCGTTCAAATATGAAAGTCCATTGATTTTTTTTAGATTTTTTCTATTATTTTACCACATTAACAAGTTTTATAAGTCATAAGAATGTATCTAACGAGTTTTAGAAAGTCTAAGGAGTTATTTAACATGTTTTGGAATGTCCAAGCACTTCTTTGTTTCAAAAAATTATCCAATAACTTAATCATTCCAAACACTAAAGTCCATTGAATTTTTTTTTAAACTTTTCTCAAATAACTTGATACATACAAAATTATGTATCTATAACTATGATATAGAAGGCAAAGAACTTATATTAAATATATATTATTGAAGAAATTTTACGTTTATTACTATTTATTATAATATCATCAAATGTATTAGTGCTTTGTTTCAATTACATTTTTGTAATATTAGAATTAAGTAAAGTTTTAACAAATTTTTTTATTTTATTTTACAGTTGTCGTCAACTTCTCAGCTAGTTTTTGACAAGCATGATAAATTTATCAACTACCAGTTAGTTTATCAATAAACAACTTTCTTTTCATCCAACGACCGACTTATTAGTCGTATACTAAACATAACCTAATAAATTTCAGCCAAATTCTTTATAATATAATAAAATACAAAAATATTTTTTACACTAAACAAGTGAAAGATGACATATATACAAATACCCTTATTTAAAAGGTGGTTTAGGTTAATTTTATTTAGGGGTGTTTGAGGTTCGGTTTGGGCGGTTGAATCCCTTAGACCACAAATTAAACCGTAATGGCGGTTTATAAAATTTTCAAACCGAGCGGTTTGATATCAAGTGCCCAAACTGGTCAAACCAAACCACGAAAAAACGGTCTGGTCTGACCGGTTTAAACTTAAAAAACAAATATAATTTGGAATTTTAGATTAAATATCCATTTTAACAAAACAAAATATCCAAACAAATAAATGTAATAATTAAACAGCTCTTAAGTCAAAAATCCAAGCAATCTAAAGTCCAAACAAATAAATATATTATAATACATATTTGAAAACAAACAAATTAACAAATTTACAACTTCACTGTGAGTATTGATTATTGAGTAACAAAATCCATGACTTCACAGACCTTTAATTCTTGAGTCTTGAGTCCTTGACCAAACAAAATAAAAGTCAAATCTTGATTGGTAGAATCACTTGGTTGATGTCTTGATGATGTGCGCCGAAATCAAACCATGGATTAAGAAAGATCGATAGACTGATAGGGTTTTTGAGGGATTTCAAAATTTGAATACCATCAATGTCAAATGTGTCGATATGTTTATTGGTTTAGAGATTTTAGGCATCGATTCATTTGGATTTGATTATTTTAGATGTTAAGTTTTATGGCGGGCTTAGGGATATATTTGTGTTATAGCCTATAAGTTAAAAAAGTTGTGTTTGCTAATGCTAATATATATATATATATATATATATATATAT